GTGTGTGTGTGTGTGTGTGTAGTGTAGTGTAGTAGTGTCGTAGTGAGTGTAGTTGTGTAGTGTAGTGTGTGTAGTGTGTGTGTGTGTGTGTGTGTGTGTGTGTGTGTGTGTGAGTGTGTGTGTGTGTGTGCGTGTGTGTGTATGTGTGTGTATATAAAGAAAGACCATCAATACCTTCATCCTTTATTTCAAGGCAACCATCTATTCAAAGGCATCCAGTGCATTGTATGCAGACCTGTGCCCAGAATAACCATCCCCGTATACCCAGTCTTTTTGGCTTTAGCATATAGATCAGTGGTATAAGAGTCTATCATATATTTACTCCCTTGCCGCGGTATTCGCCCAGCCCATTCGCATTGGAATATAGCGGCCATAGGCGAGATGGCTTGGTCGTCTACGCTTCTGTCGCCATATATACCTGCCTGCTTTTGCCCCGGTTTACTGCGGAGGTGGTGGTGGTCACAGTATAGTATAGTGAACACATAGGCCATGTAGACTCGGCTGGGCGCTTGCTGGTGTGTGTGCGATGTTTGTTAGTAAGTTGATGCGGATGGTTATTGCATAGTCACCGCACCAGGGGTGGAACAGCGCGGCAAGGAAATCCTCCAATCACCGGGAAAAAAAACTCCAGTTTTTCTACTTTCGAAGGCCCCCTATCCGGCTCGATACAACTGCACATGAGGACTTAGACACGCACACAGACATTCTTTGAAGAGACCTGTACGAATACTCTGGTGTATGTTTAAATCCTCTAATGGGTAAGGTTTAGACCCTTTAAAGACCCCTTTAAAACCTGAAAACCCTAAACCTTAATTAGTATGTTAGACTTGACTTAACTAAAGTATGTGCGAAACAGCATGGACGCACATGCGCAGCCACGGAGCACTTCTTTGTGAGTGGAGTAGGCGATTGACTGACCCATACTCACAGCACTTAATATAAACCAACACACAGTGCAACACTGGCGATATCTCAGCTTATTGAAACTCTCAATGCGTCCGTACAAAGCTCCACTCAATAATATGTGGGCACAAACCATACATACAGGTGTATATATCTCTAGCCGCACACATGTGTACATATATCCCATTACACACACGCGCGTATATGCATCTCAGACTGAAGTACAAGTACACCTAACACAGAGTGGGCACAAACCACACACACAGGTGTATATATCTCTAACCACACACACGTGTATATATATCCCTAATCACACACGTGTATATATAACCTAACCACACACACGAGTATATATCTCTCTAACCACACACGTGTATATATAACCTAACCACACACACACACGTGAGTATATATCCCTAACCGCGCACACGTGTATATATAGCCCTCAACACACACACGTGTATATATATCCCTAACCATACACACGTTTAAACGCATCTTAAGACTACACTCCAAGTACACCGACCACAGAGTGTACTAACCCAGCCGCGAAGCTCTTCTCTGCGAGCGGGTGAGGTGATTGGCAGTCCCATATGCGCAGCACAGCATCCGAGCCCACACAGCAGATGACACTCTCTGAACTATCCACAGTGGGCACGAGTGAGTAGTCGTGTGTGTTGACGTGCTTGTCATAGGTCACAACAGGCGCACCCCACATGCGCTGGTTGGGTTGTGGTCAGTGGATCAGAAATTCGGGGTGAGAGTGTGTATTTAGGTGTATGTTGTATACGAGTTTTTGCCGAGGTGGTTCTGTGCTTGAGATATGGCGAAGAGATTGGCCTAATATCGAGAGGTAGTCAACGTGACATGAAAGCCAATACTAACAGTATACGGCGTTTTGCCGAAGAAGTTTTGTACTTAAGATATGGCGAAGAGATTGGCCTAATATCGAGAGGTAGTCAACGTGACATGAAAGCCAATACTAACAGTATACGGCGTTTTGCCGAGGAAGTTTTGTACTTAAGATATGGCGAAGAAATTGGCCTAATATCGAGAGGTAGTCAACGTGACATGAAAGCCAATACTAATAGTATACGGCGTTTTGCCGAAGAAGTTTTGTACTTAAGTTATGGCGAAGAGGTTGGCCTAATATCGAGAGGTAGTCAACGTGACGTGAAACCCAATACTCACAGACAATTCTGCAAGGTCACCATAATCATTGTTTCGCAGCGGAAAACAAGATTCTGGCTTTCGATACAACCCAAATACTTTAAAGATGGGTATGGTCAATTAAAAGTTTGGGTTTTAGGGTTTAGGGTTAAGGCTTAGATCAATCCAATACAATGCTGTGATTTAACAAGAAGGTTTTGTTTGTTTGCGTCCGCAGAGAGGAACGGAGATATTATTGACTGACTGGAGTTGTGGTTCATGTGATCCCAGATATATAGACATATACAAGAACAAAACATATCACGAACACTGTATATATACCAATATGAAAGCAGACCTTTATCCACATATCGAACAATGTCCACTTTTATGTAAAACGCGCTACCCAAAGAGGAGAAGCTAGTCCCCGCAATCCATGCAGCTGGCGAGTCCACGAATGATGACCTTCATCAATTGGACCCACAAAAAAAACACACAAACACCATACCCATCTCAGCGACAAACAGACAAACACATACAACATGACAACGACCGTAGACGCACATGGGCATATACAAACCTATCTCACACGGCGCCTATTTTTAGAATTATATCTTTATATTTCTGGGCATACATATCTCAGCGACAAGCAGACAACAAACATCCAACATGACAACGACCGTAGACGCACATAGGCATATACACACCTATCTCACTACGGCGTCCTATTTTTAGGATTCTATTTTTAGAACTCTGGGTATATTTATCTCAGCGACAAACAGACAACAAACATCCAACATGACAACGACCGTAGACGCACATAGACATATACACACCTATCTCACACGGCGCCTATTTTTAGAATTATATTTTTATAACTCTGGGCATACGTACCTGATCGTACATACGTAGGCCGCCACGGCCCAAACGACTGATGAGTACGTGAACGTCGTCTTTCATAACGTGGATAGACGACACCGACGCCATTTTCTTCTCCAAAACGACCTCCTTTTTACTACTGTAGGAATCTGTAAGTTTGACGAGGATTGATTTTCAGGGAAATATATACATACATACATACGTGCGTACATACATATAGATATCATATATATATACATATATTTA